TAACAGAGGGGGACAACGTGACAAGGTAATGTGTGTGTATAGACAGTGAGTAATTGATCTGCAGTCAGAAGTATTATTGAGCACGTTCGTTGTTATAGCGTTTGTTTAGCGCGATTGTTGAAGTTGAGTGTATCGGTAAAGTTATATTCAGAAAGAATAAACCAGTTTTTATTAAGAAAGAACTTGTGTCGCTTAAGTTTCGTCGGAACGAAGTTACGGGAAATCAATTAACAAACGGAGACGTAACAATACGTATCTGTTTGAATTCTTTGTTTATGTTAAAACTTCTAAGACCGTCCCTAATTTCGAACTGCCTCCCACAGGAAAGGTAACTGGGCGGCAGCACCCACAGTCAGTTATTCTTTGGCTACTCCTTACCAAGGAATAGTGGGATTGAACATAAAATTATAGTTCCTCCATGATTGATAAGGCGAAGAGATTAAGGGACAGGTTTCGATCAGGGACACGCAGTTCGCGAGTCGAGCACCTTAACCACCAGACCATACCAGGCCACAAAATTTAGAAATACCTTAACCACCAGACCATATCAGGGCACAACATTAGAATTACCTTAACCACTAGGCCATGTCAGGCGACAACATTTAGAAATTACCTTAACTACCAGACCATACCAGGCCACAAAATTTAGAAATACCTTAACCACCAGACCATATCAGGCCACAATATTAGAATTACCTTAACCACTAGGCCATGTCAGGCCACAACATTAAAATTACCTTAACCACCAGAACATATCAGGCCACAACATTTAGAAATAACTAAACCAAACAAACGTATACCAATAAGAGTAGTATAGGTGTAGAAACATACATTCACTAAAAATGTCTTGCCTGTATAATCACAAAGTTATTAACATACGCTGTGTAAGCGTAGCTCAGTTGTATAACACATATATAAATACACGATATAACACTAACCTTAACGGCCGGTCCTTATTAACAATATTTATGTCTTGTCCTTGTTAGGACGTCACCTATCTTCCTTGATGTTTAGATTATGTTCTGTCGTCACCAATCTTCATTTCTATTAACATTTTATGTTCTGTCGTCACTCATATTTATTGCTATAAATGTTTTGTTTATGTTCTGTCGTTACTCATCTTCATTGTTATAAATATTTTATTTATGTTCTGTCGTCACTCATATTTATTGCTATAAATGTTTTATTTATGTTCTGTCGTCACCCATCTTCACTGATATAAATGTTTTGTTTTATGTTTTGTCGTTACTCTTCTTCATTGTTATAAATGTTCTTTTTTTCAGTCACTAAATTCAATGGTTTGTGTATGATCTGTTCTTTTTAGTCTTATTTGTTCGGGCTCTTAGATTCTGTGTTCTATATAAAACAGTTGTTGTTATTTAACTGTTTTAATTTTGTCCATCTTTTTTTTTTCTTGCTGTTGTTGTTGAGTTTCAATAGTTTAATGCATTATTATAACTTTAATGAGTTGAGTATTTGATTCGCGTACTTATCATTTGATAATTTTCTAGTTTAGTTTGATATACGTTTCTATCCATATTTTACGGTAACTTGATAGCCTACCAATAGATTACGAAATATTGAAATGAAAAAGTAATTCAATCTATACAAAGAAGTTTCTTTTTAGAACTTGGAGTTTGGAGATTGCTATTCCCATATACAAAATAATAATTAGTTTAATGTTCTACATATCTTCTAGGTCTTATCCAAAGAAGGCTTCTTAACGATCACATTTCTACAGAATCATATATTTAACTACGTGATTCGTTAATTAATTTTGGGTAAAACTAAACACGATACTACTTCCTTAGGTATCGAACTAACTACAAAACTAAAATCTTTTGTTTCCTTAACATAATTCTGAAACACGGAGTAACGTGACTTGGTTAAAAAACTCTAGAAATTCTAATTCAAAAGCGGGCTAGAACGTTTGAAATCCAAGAGCTAGGGAACTTCTGCTGCAACTGCCGCCTTCTTCATTATTATGCTGATAATACTAGCTATAAAACTTGTAAGATGGACTTTACGTTGTGGACATGTTATATCATAGAAAAAAGGCACTTTTCCATAGGATTTTAAGTCAAGAATCTGTTCTTTTATAGTCCTGAAACACTTTATTCAAACTTTTGTTTTTTCATTCCCTTTTTTGCACTTTCCTATATCTATTGTTTACTTTCAGTCAGTACAAGTTAAACTGGAAACGTTTTCTAACGAACTACAGTAGATACCGTGTGTTTAAGTGTAAGATTGCATGGAATTGTAAATAATTAATACATAATTCAATATTTAAAATTATTGACCTTTAACATATTACAGCGAAACGACAATAGAATAGTTTTTGTCAACGAATAACGCTGTCTTATCTCGACTTTTTCACCTCTCGGTTATTTTAAATATTTCCAACTCCAAAGCCAAACCGTAACGTTAAACTTCTTGCACTGCATGTATATAACCTTTCAGATAACCTTTTGTTTTCTTGCTCTCATAGAACGAAAGGAATCCTGGGCAGTGACGTGTGATGGACAAAGATAGATCTGAAACACTACTTTTATACACTTCTGATTGGAAATCCGTAATGGAGAAACTAATATGATGCTAAAAAGGATATGTAGACTAAGTGATGTTTACCATGGATTCCAGGTAACAAATGAAGTTCAAAATTAGCACTGTCTTGTACTCGTCAGCGTGAGGCTTGGTCACGTTCAAACAAATAAGACCGTGTTCCAGAGCACTCACTATTGGTTTTTAAACCTAACTCATCTGTTACGTGATCTGTGATTGGTAAACAGGGAACCTTCACCACCTTCATGTCCACCCCATACCTCTGCAGCAAACCTAAGAGCACAACTCAGATAGCCCCTTGTGTAGCTTAGCGCTTAGCAACAAACAAGAAAAACTTAGATATGTAATTCACACACATGTGTGAATTAGGGTTAACTGTATTTGTGTTTAAATATCAATACGTCTGCTGCTTCACATAAACAACTAATGACAAACAACAAGTTACTTGTAAACCTGAGTATAAACCACACTGTTAGAGTTCTTACAGCATGAGTGTGGCTATTTACTCCTTACCTACTCAAAGACACCTATATTGTAATTATCGTCTGGAGACTGCCTCATAGTCCAATTATTAGGACTGAATATTAACTTTAAAAATTAATGAAATGACTTTAGCGTATAATATTGTTATAAGCAGGGACATAGTCACGGGATGGGGGCTCAAACGACACCCCAATGTTCTATAAAATCTAAAAGATCCACTATCTTCTGATTTGGTTTTCATAAATACTTCAATTTCATATGAACCACTTAAATTATTTGTGTAAAAAAAAAGGTCTACTTTTTTTTAAATCCCCCCTCTCTCTCTTTTTACTGCCGGCTACGCCCCTGATTACAAGTCTTACCGTCAACTAGTATAATAAAAGTATTCCTACCAAGTGTGATTGATGCTGTTTTACTTGGAAGTCTAAATAATTAATCAAATGTATATATATATAAGTAAGACCCGTACTAATAACTGAGCTTATTTCAACTCCAAGGAGTTACTTTTACGACAGGAACTACATATATGAGTGGGTAAAGTGGGAGAGAAGCTCCACAACATTTTATTTACATAACTACTATTAATGTTACTTCCCCTGGTCGTTATGACATGTTTACTGCGTAACCTAGCTACTCGATAATGTCAGGTCCCTCTACACTTTAATGTTGCTAAGCTACATAGAAAACCAGTCTTGACAGCCAGGCGCATGTCGACAAAGCGCTGAAGGCAAGGCGGAGAACACTGAAATAACCATTAGAAACGAAGTGAGCAATACACTGAAAAACACAGGACCTGCTAAAGAATTGACAGTGTGCTATTTACTGGACAGGGAATACTGCTGTAATTCTGACTTGACCCATTTCTAGATTATACAGGTGGATAATGCTGAAATTTTGACTCGACCTATTTCTCGTATGTAAGGTAGATTATACAAGGAGATAATACTGCACTTCTGACTCGACCCATTTCTCGTATGTAAGATAGATTATACAGGGGGATACTGCTGCACTTCTGACTCGACCCCTTTTTCATATATATGGTGGATTATACAGGGGGATAATGCTGCACTTTTGACTCGACCCATTTCTCGTATGTATGGTAGATTATATAGGGTGATACTGCTGCACTGCTGATTTAACCTGATGCGTTTCAGCTGATCATCGGTTAACCTTAGCTAGTACAGACTTGTGACAATCACAGAAAGAAGACACCAACACAACTGTAACACGCACGATATCTAATTAGACCTGTAATCCATGTAATTTAATCAGGGTTTAAGCTTCCTAACCAAATCATCTGGTAATCAGTTAACCCTAGTTGTACAGACTTGTGTCAATCACAGAAAGAAGACACTAACACAACAATAACACGCAAACAGTTTGAAACTAACTTCAGCGAAGTCATCGGAGGGAAAGATAGATGGCCGGATAGATGGATACAGACACTTTGGTTTCTGTAAGGGAAAACAAATAACTCATTACACACCATAAACAATTACATTAGAGTCATTAAGACACGATAAACCAAGTATACATAATGAGTATTTTATCATGTTGAATAAACAAATTAAACACACAGCTATAGCTCAAACACAGATCTCCATTCAAAATCTCGGTAAATAATCTGGTGATGTAACAGTACTCAAAACGACTATATCCCAGTCCATGCAGACGAATCAAACAAACTAATTTAGAAAGTTATAAACCAATGTTGCTTTATGTTTTGCACAAGTAGAACTAGAATAGAAAGGGAAGTATATTTTAGTCGTAACTAAGACTAACACCAAAAATGTCCCTTTTTTACCTCCGTAAACAGAAAATATCTTCATCGTGAAACACACATCAAGAACAAAGTACGTAGGTTTTAAATACTTGACATCTTACATTTGACTTTAGTAGTAAAATGAATTTAATTCTGTGCCATGTTCATTACTTTAAAAACTAAACGGTGAAGCACGAACTCCATCTTATTTCTAACAATCAGTTAGATCATAGAGGGCGGTCTGTATATTGGCATCGGTTATTAACTTAAGGGTGATAACAAAACCCTCATATTTCAATATACAGAGATAAATGAGGGTTCACCAAACAATCCAAATACGAAAATAATTTCTTCGACCTTAAATTTACAAAAAAAATTATTTCTGCAATTCCTGGCGCGTTAGTTCCAAAACTTGACACGAGAGGCGTATTAACTCGATACTAAATTATTTCAAACTTCTTGCTGGTTCTAACTAAAAGGAGTCCTATCGAAATGAATAATATGATTAACAAACTGGAAAATTTGTGGTAAAACGCATAACATCTAGTAAAGTGTGTGTAAAAAAGTTTTTTTTTGTAAAGAAAAAAAAAAGAACTAAAAAATTATTCGGATCACGACTTTTTCACCGGAAAAGTAAAATAATTTCAAGTATTAAAATCATCAAGAAGGGAAGATAAATTCTTCTAAAATAAAATAGACTTATCTTCAAAAACTTTCCTCACCACATTAATCACCCACGAAATCCAGTTTGAGGAATAAACAGGCTAAGCTGAAACTTAGAACTCAGTAAAAGAAAAAGATAAAATGGAACTGTGGCTTTTTTTAGCATCGTTTTTTGCTGGATGTAGGTAGAGACTTAAGCATGTTCCACAAAGTACTGATTCAGATATAACACGCTTTACTCTGCTGTCAACAGGAGTGAGTCAGTTTTGTAAATTGGAAATGTTTAATTTTTTGTACTAAGATTTATTAAAATGATTTGTCCAAGGGGGTACAGATTTATCGGTTTGAAAATTTACACCTACTTCATTTTTTTGCCTACAGATATGAAATTTAAATGAGAATAAGTGAAATATTTATATAGTATGTACTAAAGTATAAGTCCAGGTCAGATTACCTGTTATAATGTAGACCGATGAAACGTATGTTGTAACCTCGTTGTCGTGGTTTGTATGTCCATGTCAGGCTATTTGTTATAATGTAGAGCGTAACGAGTGTTGTAAACTTGTTGTGGTTTGTATGTCCATGTTAGGCTACTTTTTATACCGTAGACTCTACAGTGTAGAGCGTAACGAGTGTTGTTATCTTGTTGTGGTTTGTATGTTCATGTTAGGCTACTTGTTATACCGTAGGCTCTACAGTGTAGAGCGTAACGATTGTTGTAAACTTGTTGTGGTTTGTATGTCCATGTTAGGCTACTTGTTATACCGTAGACTTTACAGTGTAGAGCGTAACGATTGTTATAAACTTGTTGTGGTTTGTATGTCCATGTTAGGCTACTTGTTATACCGTAGACTCTACAGTGTAGAGCGTAACGAGTGTTGTAAACTTGTTGTGGTTTGTATGTTCATGTTAGGCTACTTGTTATACTGTACAGAGTAACGAGTGTTGTAAACTTGTTGTGGTTTGTATGTTCATGTTAGGCTACTTGTTATACTGTAAAGAGTAATGAGTGTTGTTATCTTGTTGTGGTTTGTATGTTCATGTTAGGCTACTTGTTATACTGTAGAGCGTAACGAGTATTGTAAACTTGTTGTGGTTTGTATGTCCATGTTAGGCTACTTGTTATATTGTAGAGCGTAACGAGTGTTGTAATAACATGAACATACAAACCATAACAAGTTTACAACACTCGTTACGCTCTACAGTATAACAAGTAACCTAACAAAGACATACAAACCACAACAAGAAGCTACTTGTTATACTGTAGAGCGTAATGAGTGTTGTTATCTTGTTGTGGTTTATATGTTCATGTTAGGCAACTTGTTATATTGTAGAGAATAACGAGTGTTGTAATCTTGTTGTGGTTTGTATGTCCATGTTAGGCTACTTGTTATACTGTAGAGCGTAACGAGTGTTGTAAACTTGTTGTGGTTTGTATGTTCATGTTAGGCTACTTGTTATACTGTAGAGCGTAACGAGTGTTATAAACTTGTTGTCGTGGTTCGCATAACAAATTTAGACGCGATATAACTAAAAAAAACAACTTACAGAGAAATATCCCAATGATACGAGTATCTCAGTACATTGACATCTAACAAAAACATTTTCATACGAGAAACTTCCAAGTTATGCACGTCTGGTTACTGACCTTTTTACTGAAACCTGAAAATAAGTGTGTTAAAACGAAGTCCATTAAGGACATGAGTAGACTAAGTTGAACTAAGTCTTGTATATTTGATTTATTATATTTTCATCGTTTTAAATTAAACTGGTTAATCACAATGTTAACATACTGTCTTCATCAAAGGAACTTAGGAGGAGTTTTTCAGACTCTGTTAACCTTCCAATCCTTATCAGAGCACTTTAGAAGGAGGATTATAGGTTACGATAACCTTCTAGTCATTTCACAAAATAGGGCCAGTTTTGAGATAGACTTGCAATCCAACTTCAGGTAATTTCTGAAAAATTTTAAGTCTTTGTTTCCCAAAGTCACAAATATTAATTTCATTGTAGAAGTTTTCCTATATATTTACCCTAATTTTATACTGTGTGTCCTATATATTTACCCTAATGTTATACTGTGTGTCCTAGATATTTACCCTAACGTTATACTGTGTGTCCTATATATTTACCCTAATGTTATACTGTGTGTCCTATATATTTACCCTAATGTTATACTGTGTGTCCTATATATTTACCCTAATGTTATACTGTGTGGCCTATATATGTGTCCTAATGTTATACTGTGTCCTATATATTTGTCCTAATGTTATAGTGTGTGTCCTATATATTTATCCTAACTTTATACTGTGTGTCCTTTATATATTTGACAGGACAGTGCCCTAGAAATATATGTACTCATGGCCAGTGCTCTAGAAGGGGATATATGTGCACCCATGGTAGTGCTCTAGAAGGGGACATATGTGTACCCATGAAAGTGCCGTGGAAAAGAACATATGTTTATTGGTGGCAGCGTTGTAGATGGGAACATACATGTATGTGCCTGAGGCAATACTCTAGAGGGGCCATTATGTGCTCATGGCAGTCTTCTAGAAGATACATATGCATGTGTCTATGGCAGTGGTCTAGAGGGTGACATATACATGTGTCTATGGTAGTGGTCTAGAGAGTGACATATAAATGTGTCTATGTCAGTAGTCTAAAGGGAGACATATACATGTGTCTATGGTAGTGGTCTAGAGGGTGACATATACATCTGTCTATGGCAGTGGTCTAAAGAGAGATATATAAATGCATTTTTGTCAATGGTCTAGAGGGTGACATATACACGTGTCTATGTCAGTGGTCTAGAGGGTGACATATACATGTGTCTATGGCAGTGGTCTAAAGAGAGACATATAAATGAATTTATGTCAGTGGTTTAGAGGGTGACATATACATCTGTCTATGGCAGTGGTCTAAAGAGAGATATATAAATGCATTTTTTGTCAATGGTCTAGAGGGTGACATATACATGTGTCTATGTCAGTGGTCTAGAGGGTGAAATATACATGTGTCTATGGCAGTGGTCTAAAGAGAGACATATAAATGCATTTATGTCAGTGGTTTAGAGGGAGACATATACATGTGTCTATGTCAGTGTTCTTTTTCAGGGAACTTCTACATCATCAAGATAGTGACCATATCAAATCAACACGTCTTCTTCCAGTTGCTAAGCAAGACGTAACAAGAAAATACGATAACACAGACATTTCAATGTGTCAATGCTGCTTTTTGGGCATAAGTTCGGCTAGGAACGTAGATGAAGAAGAAACAGCGTAGTGATGATCTAAATACGTAAATGGATGCTTTTAGATAGCAAAAATCCCATTTTTGTTCTTGTTGTGCCTCCGAGGCATGACATATAGGAGTTTAGAAACTAAAACAAACATGACAAGGTAAAGAAAAAGTTGTTCAAGATTTATTAAATCTTGTTAAGAATGAATGAACACACTCAAATAATATATATATTGAATTTAAATGCTTTGTTTTGGAAGTACGTACGTCTGAGCAAAGAGTTCATGTTTGAAATTCAATCATCCCATTAGAAGCTAGAAATCTCTTTCATGTTTAAAAAGAAGACATATTCGAGAAGCAAAATAAAGAAATAGAAAATACGTTTCTTTGGGTTAAATATTTATAAGTCAGTAGAATTTCACAATAAGACTAAATGTGATTGGTAATCATTATAAGGATAGAGTCTTCATAAGAAATTCAATCCAGCGTTGAAACAGGATTTGGTTTTATTACTTGCCTTTATTTGATTAAATTTACTGTACTTTCACATTCAGTTATTCACACTCCTGTTTTATTTTAAATTCTGTTAATGAAAATTGTTCCGACTGAGGAGATACTTTGTGAGGATTTCATCACAAGCAACATAATGATAAACACAAATATTTGTCACATAAACGAGCATTGTTCTCGATCTTCTGATAAGCTTTGTTTGTTTGTTTTGAATTTCGCGCAAAGCTACACGAGGGCTATCTGCGCTAGCCGTCCCTAATTTAGCAGTGTAAGACTAGAGAG